ACAAAATTTACTGTCCTAACCATTTTTAAGTGTAAGGTTCAGTAGTGTTAAGTACATCCACATTGTTGTGCAACCAATATCCAGAACTGTTTTCATTTTGCAAAACCGAAAGTCTGTATCCATTGAGCAACTCCCCATTTCCCCCTCTCCTGACCCCCCAGCAACCACCATTCTACTTTCTCTCTGATTTTGACTACTCTAGTTACCTCATATAAGTGGAATCGTACCATATTTGTCTTTTTGTGACTGGCTTATTTCATTTAGCAGAATGTCTTTGAGGTTCATCCATGTTGTAGCATGTGTCAAAATTTCCTTCGTTTTTAAGACTAGGTGATATTCTCGTGTTTGTATATAACACATTTTGTTTATCCATTCCTCTATCAGTTGGGGTGGCTATTTCTTGACTTGGTGGTGGCAAAAAGGTGTTCATCTCATAAGAAGTCATTAACCACGCAGTTTTTAATGTGGTTTTCTGTAAATGTGTGTTTTATAAGAGGATTAAAATCATTTCACAGGTCCCCATGTTTTTGCCAGGGATACTCTATAGCTCTGCCTCGGTCTTTCTACTTCCCCAATGGCTGAATCAGAACAAAAAGCAATGCTGGAACCTGTCTTTATTAGTAGTAGATCACGGACATCCTTCTGGGTCAATATATGTAGATTTAATTTACTATTTTTAATAGCTGCATAATATTCCAGTGTCTGGATGTACTATAATTTTTTTCAACAAGCCCCTTTTGGTAGCCTTTCAGGTGGTTTCCAGATTTTTACTACTACAAATAATGGTACACTAAACATCTATATTTATATCTGTATCTATATCTGTAGTATATAATCTAGATCTATATATAAAGTGCTTTTCTATCTGTGTCAACAGTATGCTCATTTCACTTTTTAGCAGATAATATCTAAATGCAATGCATGATCCAGGATCAAGAAAAAATTGCTATAAAAAACAGTATTGGATAATTAGGAAATCTCAAATGTGGACTGTGTATTAAACAATACTACTATATCAATGATAAATGTCCTGAATGTAATAATTTGCCATAAATTTGTCATCATGTAAGAGGATGATCTTTTCTTAGGAAATACATGCTGAAGTATTTAGGGGTGAAGAGTCATAATATCTGTATGTATTTTAGTCTCAAATGGTTCAGAAAAATGTGTATGTATAATTGTGTAGACATAGATGTAACAAATAGGGCAAAATGTTAGTAATTAGTGAAGCTAAGCAAAGGGTTATGGGAGTTGACCATATTGTTTTTGCAACTTTTGTGTAGGTTTGACATGTTTTTAAAATAAAATATTAATTTTTTAATGTGTTACTGCTATATGACTTTCCAAAAGAAACAGAGCAGTTCATAGGCCCATCAGTTAGTGACGGTGCTGATGGGCAACCAGTGCTATCTTCCTGTTTAATTTGCATTTCCTTGACTGTGACGAGTGTTTCCTGTGGCTCTGGAAGTCAAAGCAGGAGCTGATTACTTTTTATTCTGTGAGCCCTCCTGGTCCTGCCTTGGTGAAGGTGATCAAATGCAAATTTTAAGGTATCTTCTGTTACTAGACATACTAGTGATTTGCCAACAGCTTTTTTCATTTGTTTACTTGGGGTCTTGAGACGTCTTTCTCACGTCACGGCCGTCTCGGGACCCCATCCCTCCCGCAGGAGAGATGCCCTGGCTTCCTGGAGAGAAAAGCCGTTCCCTAGGGGTGTGTTGCAGCTGGGAAGAGAGGATTTACTCAGCCACTGATAGAGGGGAGGAACACTGCATTCAACATAGGCAAAACAATTTTTTTTTTCTTTTTGGTTAACCAAGTAGCTTTCATTTGTCCACATAATAGCAGTTGTTTTCTTTGGGGCCACATTTTGAAGTGCTCCAGTAGGTCTCTCCTCTCTGCGGTGTTCATCTCTACAGAAACGTGATATGTGGAGTTTGGGTATTTCCCTTAAAAGTCTGGATTTTTAGGGCCCTGGACTGGGAGGAAGGAGGAGATAGGAGAAAGGACTAGGACTAAGGAAGGCATTGCTAGGTGACAGCTTGACTGGACATCTGTGTTAAGACTTTATTTCCCAAAATAAGGATAAGCCATTAAGAGACTTGTGGATGAGTATTCTTGTTCAGCGCCACCGCTGGGCAGCCTTGCTGCTTGGAAACAAGAGTGGGAGCCACATTGTTTCATGCTTCTGTTGAGGCTGTAACACACCCCTAGGGAATGCCTCTTCTCTCCAGGAAGCCAGGGCAGCTCTCCTGTGGGAGGGACAGGGTCCCGAGATGGCCGAGAGCCAGCTGTGAAGTGAGACAGGACCTGCCCTCACCCCTCATGCCCCCACTGATACCCACACTCTCCCCTTTTGGCAAAACTGGCTGCCTTGGAGTGTGCAACCTCGTGGGGAAGGATTGCTCATCAGCAACCTTTTTTTCTTTTTTTTCCTTCTTTATTTTTTCATCTATTTCTTGGTCCTGTATAATCAGCAACCTTTTTAACACGTGTTTGGCTTTGTAGTGAAATGGCATGAAATTTAAAATCTGATTTTTACAGAAGTATCTTATGTCGGTATATCCTCGCTCTGGACACTGAATCTTTTTTGGTCAGAGTTGAGAGGATAGAAATGGGAGAGATTCTTCTGAAAACCCTCATTATATGTTTAGAACCAGCTAGTCTATTTTAAGGCTGGTGACCTCTGTTGTTGTTTGTTTTGAATAAAACACCTGAACACATTTTCTGACTTACGGTCTGAGACAAGACCAGAATATTTGAAACTTGGACCATCCAAAAAGTATGAAATGCAATGTCACTACTTTAATAAATCATCTGGAAATTTAGTGGCAAATGCCAGAACTGATGGCAGGATGGGAAGGAAGTTTTCTCATTTTCACATTAGCAGACTTTTGGTTCTTTTCCTAAATGACATTGCAAACATCCTGCCGGTCTCGCGGATAGGGAGTTAACTTGAACTGCAGGGGAGATTTCCAAGGCCCTCTGAGCTTTCAGCTCAAATCTCCTGTCTTCACAAGGCCTTTCTGTTCCCCAGGATGGCAGAATTAATCCAAATGTGAGGGGCACTTGGCTAACAATCTTGATGGGTCTGGCAGAAGAAATGCCAGTCTGTTTGCTGCCCAGGACGCAGCTCTGGGCTCGGTAGCTCTAGGCCAGACATGGGCCTCTGGGCCTTCAGGACTTACTAGCCACTCAACACCCAGACTGTGAGGGCCAGATGCACGTTATGCTGATGTCAAATGCCCCCTTGCCACTGGTGGATGGAACCCAGAGGTCAGAGAGCTCGAGTTCCTCTCCAGTGCTTCCTTTTCCCTGGTGCCATCCCCAGTCTCCCAGCCCGGCTTCCGTTAATGGCGGCATTTCACCCCTGTGCCCATGTGGAGCACTAGCCCCAGGGAGGGGGCAGAGAGGCTCTGCACTGGTGCCCCACCCTTCCCCACCAACTCAGCCCTGAGTGTCCTGTGCTCCTCAGGAGCCCAGTGGCCTTGGACCTCCTTTGAATTGTGCCAGGAGCTGACCACAGTTCTGTATCTAAGTCCTGGATTGTGGTCACAAGTGACACACTTGTGTATTGCCATTTCTCACCAGTGTATTCTTGACATGAGGCTTTTTGCTGGCTCAATGAAACAGACTTTTAAAACTTTTCTCTACAGCAACTTCAGTGCATGGATATTCAACCAAATTAATGGCCCCTTATTTCCTAGCTTACGTATTGGTCAGGAACCATAAATTCACATGCTAATACATGAGCCTATCTGTGAGATTTCCCTTTTGACAAACACACACGCACACACCCTCTTATATATTTATTGCACATCTGCCAGGTGCCAAGCATCCTGTACCTCTTGTCTTGAATTTTCACCAAGACCCTGTAAGATTGGGATTATTGTCATCATTTTCTAGACGTGGTACCTGAGACTGGGGAAGGGTAAGTCATGTGTCAGAGAGGACACACAAACCCTGTGGATTCCAGAGCCCAGGTTCTTCTGCATCCTGGCACCTCAGATGGCCTTGTGTTCAGAGGACAGGGTGTCTTCTCATGTTAATAGGTATCCCTACGCCCTCCCTGCATTTCGCTGGCCTGTCACAGAGGCATCGGCTAACTGACATCTGGCATCCTGGGTGACATGTGGAGGTAGGTGGGTCATGTGAAGTCAGCTCAGCCCAAGCCTGGGCCTGAAAGATGGTCAACAGTGATGCCTCCTTCTGTCACCAGGCAGGCACAGCCTTTCAACCTGGTATGTGTTTTCTAGACATTTGTGCCTCTTAAGCTAGCTAGCTATGGTAAAGGACCAGTTTTTTTCATTTCCAATCTGCTGAGGACTGATACTTAAAAAAAAAAAACAACAAACCACATTAGAAATGTTACAGCTGTGTCAAATTGCTGTGGAAGTTCCGCGTGCTTGCCCCAGCTTCTGTGCTTATCTCATTGTGGCCGGTGGAGTAAACAGTGCATGGCCTCGTGGGGTCTGTGGATGTATCTTGAATAGCACTCTACCATGTAATTTATGGGCAGCATAGACTTCAGAATAAAAGTATAATTTCTATAAGCCACAGTTTTAAAATAAATTTAACTTTAGAGTAATAGATAGTGTCTCTGTTTAGCATTCTGATTTTTAATATTGTGTCTACAACTTTTAAAAGTTACAAAAGTAGTTCGTGCTTGAAACAAAAATCCCAATAGTACAAAAATTTCCAAAATAAAAATGTTCCCCTTGCTCTCAGCCCCACCCTCCAAACTACTATCATCAATTCTTAAATTGAAGGTTCATCTCACATTCAAGAAAGAAGGGTGTGGATGAAGATTTACGAAGAGGGAAGGAGTGGGAAAGGCATTTCGGAAATTTACCCAATGTTTTATTCTGTTCTATCCTGTTTTTTATTTCAAAGGGGAAAGCATAACTTTTATGAACGTACATTACTCTGTATAGACTAAAATAACATGACAATTACCTTTGATGTACAGTATTTTCTAACATCCGTTCTCTCTGTTGCAGAGCCAGATTACATTAATGGACATACCCGTGTTTAAAGCCATCCAGCCGGAGGTCTGTACTTTGTCCTTTATACTCTCCTGTTAATGCTGTGGCTGGGAAGAGAGGATGTAGCCAGCCACCATTAGAGTGACTCAGTTTCATGGTTTCTCTCTTGAAGTCTCTATAAACGCATGTTCTTGATTGAAACCCCATTCCATTCTTGACAGTACACATTTTCCGAGCCCTGTGTTTGGATTCTCCAGAGAATATCCCCTGTCTGGCCTCTGGCAGGGCCGGGATCAGTTGGTGCCCAGAAGCCTCCATGCCTGAGAGCCAATCTTGACATACTAGTTCCTTTACCGTTGCTGAAAATGTCAAGAAGGGGATATGCGAGAACGTTTTTCTAGAGAGCTTTCTTTTTGTTGATCTCAAATTCTGGCGGTTGCCTTGTTTCTGTTTTTGAAACCAGTTGCCACAGCAAAGCATACATATTTACATGAAAAGCATATGTACATTTTTAGAAACAACATATTCAATAAAGGGTAAAAAGTTGATTTGGGTCTTTAAAAAAAATTCCTGGAAATGTTTGGTAATTGATAATGAAGGTTTGGTTATTTTACTTAGGGTTCTTTTTGTGTTAGTGAGTAAATAAAAATCCATTTCAAAGTAGTTGAATAGGCAGAAGAGGAATTTATTATAAGGATAAAGGGGCACTTTACAGAATCACGGGCATGGAGTCCAGGCAGCCTGGCTTGCCGCCTGGGACGCACGTGGGCCAGGCTTCCTGCTCTGCTTTGCCCTCTCCTCCCCTCTCCTGCGGGCTTTCCTGCCTATACACGTGGTCTGACTTGACCTCCCCAAAGGGCCCACGTGTACATAATCCCCATTCAAGTCACCATCCCAGACCAAGACCAGCAGCTTTTGGTCCAGGCCAGCTTAGTCATGTGCCCAGTGTCAGCCCTGTCACCCAGGGCCAAGAGTGGTCAAGACCAGCAGACGGGACCGTGGAACCCAGCCTTGTGAGTGAAGGGCAGACTCAGAGGAGGGGGGTGTGGGTGGGGAGATGCATCACATAGCACCTGCTGTAGCCATGTTGTGAATTCCAGAACACTCTTAATGCCCTTCTTATAGTACTGCCACTATTAAGACTTTGAGAAAGACAAGCATATCTTAACACAAAACCAGACAAAGTATCCAGGCCTTCTGAGAGCTGGCATCTAGTCTACTACAGATTAGGAAGAAACTAGTACCAGTAGCTTCGCTCAGCACTTACGTGATTTGTATTTTTGTGTGTGTGCGTGTGTGTTCCGTGTATGTTGTATTCATTAGGGTTGGGGAGCAGAGCTGTGTTTGCTTTTTTGGAGTGGCTAACTTCCAATCTTTTTCTGCTTTGTTCTAATGTGGAATGATCCATTCTTTCTAATTAAAAAACAACATCAACTCATTGCCTCTTGGAGCCTTTTGAGGGAGTAGTTGTGTGATGGTTGCCTTAGTTCTCAGCTGAAGCTATTTCTGATCATGTTCTCTTCTTGGCTTTGATCTGGAGCAGCTGAGACATTTGGGGCTTTATTCTTCGTCCTGAACATCAAGGAGGGCAGCTCAGCCTGCCAGGAGCCCTGAACCTGCATGTGCCCAGGAGACTGGGATCGCTGCCCAGGCTGTTGGTAGGAGGAAAGGGGGTAGGAGCTTCTTCCTCTTCAGAGGCACAACAGGGCCAGACCAAGGCTTTCCTCCAGGGCACTGCAGTTGGAAGGTGCCTCATCAATGCATATCTTGCTTCAAGTTGTGACAAGACATTAAAGTGGAGACGTTTTGTTTTCTAAATTGCAGCTTATAGCAGTGGTTCTCAAACGTGGCTACACATCAGAATCACCTGGATAGTCTTGGAAACATGGGGTGCCCAGACCCCACCCCTAGAGCATTAAACCCGAATCTCTGGGTTGGGGTCTGGAACCCAGTCAACTCTATTTTGTAAATGTTTGCCAAGTGATTCTGATGCAGAGTGAGGATTCAGAACTAATTGGTTTGAGGTTTCTGGAGAAACCCCAAACTTGAACATCTTGGATCTATAACATGTTAGCTAAAAATGGAAGAGTTTGTTCCTCATTGCCAAAACTGTAGTGAAAGAAGGACCCTGGGAGCTTCCCAGCTTTTTTGCTGTTGTTGTTATTGTCAGCAGACTGAAAACTAGGACTTTTCCTCTTGGGGCTGCCTGCCATGTTGTGCCTGGACCACCCCAGAGTTGGAAGGGCAAGAATAAGGCACAGTTGTAAGTTCGATGTAGGCAAGACTTTCCAGGAAGTAGAGGCCAGCATCTGAGAGCAAGATGGGCACTGCACATGACCTGGGCTCCCAGGATGTCAGGAAACCTGTGGACTGGAGCCTTTCAACCCTGGTCGTACATCAGAATCAGGTTGGGAGTTCTGTAAAAAAAAACACAGATGCCTAGGTGTCATCCTTGGAGATTCTGATTGCTTAGGTTTAGGTGGGGCTCGGGAATCTGCTTTTGAACAGCTCCCCAGCAGTACATGGTCAAAGATGAGGACGGCAATATAGATGATTATAAGACGGATAGCAATTTGCTTTGTGAAATCCTAACTCTCTAAAGATGTTTTTCTTGCCTAGTTACTAAGATTACTCTCAATTCAACCCGCATAGATAATAAGAATAATATTGGCCATGGATCCTGTAGCCAGGATTTGAACCAGGCCCAAGTGCTCAGCTACTGTGCCAGACAGGTGTGACCTGACTAGTACACAGAAGGATGGGCTCCTACATCTTCTGTTGTGGAAACAGACATCTTATTGGGTCTCCATTGTCTAGGACATGCAGATTATGAGCCCTTCCTAGGTCTTTAAGATTCTTCACAACTGGGCAATTTATGCTGGTGGGGTTTAGATATGGCAATTTGGCCTTCTGGGGTTTCCCTAGAAGGCATTGGCCACTTACCCTGGTTGGTCTTTTTCCACCCTGTCTCAGGTCTCTGCTTCCTCCATCTTCCCATCATGCTGTGTGCCAACTCTGTGCTTGTTAACGAGGAGCTGGGGGTATTTAGCTTGAACAAAAGAAGGCTCCCGAGGGATGTGGGCCTGCCTTTGGAGATCTGAAAGGCTTTGAGCAGGCTGTGAGGAGTTATAGTGAGACCTGGATGCTCTTGGGTGGTGTTAGGTATGGTCCTGGAAGAGGAATTTTCTAGGTTTTGGGGTTGGCATGCACAGAGGGTGTGGTCAAGGAGACGTGCATCAATGGGGAAGTGAAGGAGATTTGGATGTAAAGGCTTCTAAAGCTCCCCTGCCCCAGCCATGGGGGTCCTGAAGTCTCTGGTGCTGGCAGGAAGGGAGCTCCCAGTGGTGGAATGGTGAGCATGGTCCTGCCCACTCAGACCTTTGCCTCCGTGTCCTTGTTTGCCTTGCCAGCCCTCCGGGCCTTAGTCCTAAGTACCCAGTGGCTCACTGCCTGAGCACTTACTGTGTGCAGGCTCTAGGCCAGGCACCTTAGATGCAGGATCTCATTTAATCCTCAACAACCTGCTTTATCTTTGTTTTATATATGAGGAAACTGAAGCTCAGACATGTTAAGTACCATAACTTGCTCCATGATTCCTGTATTAGTCCTCTGTCTGTGTAACAAATTACCCCCAAACTTAGCAGCTTAAAGCAATAAGCATTTATTATCTCCCACATTTTCTGTGGGTGAAGAATCTAAGAGTGGCTTAGCTGGGTGGTCTTGGCTCAGGGTCTCTCAGGAGGTTGAAGTGAAGACATTGGCTGGGACTGCAGTTATCTGAAGCCTTGGCTGGGGGTGGGAAATCTGCTTGCAGGGTGGCTCACGCACAGTGCCTGGCTGTTGGCAGGAGGCCTTAGTTCCTTGCCATGTGGACCTGTCCGTAGGGCTGCTGAGTGCCCTCAGGCATGGCAACTGACTTCCCCTAGAGCGAGTGATCCCAGAAAGCAAGGCAGAAGCCACAATGACTTTTGTGACCTGGCTTAGAAGTCACATCCTCTCATTTGCACAGTGTCCTATTAGTGTCACAGATCAGCCCTCTGTAGCAAGTGGGGCACTATACAAGGATGGACACCAGCAAGTAAGAATCGTTGGGGAACATCTTGGGGGCTCCTCTCGCAGGCCTCAGGTCAGAGGTCGAATTCAGGTAGTCTGATTCCAGACCTTTAGTAATTCTGGCTCTGCTAGTCCCCAGCTGTGTGACCTTGAGTAAATCACTTCACCTCTCCGAGTTTCAGTCTCCTCATTCACAGAGTGGGGATGGCAAGGAGGACACCTCTCTCATAGGGTTATTTGGAGAATTAAATGAGAAAATGCAGGTAAAGTACTTCACATGGAGCCTGGAACCTAGTAAAACTTAACACCAACCTTTTTTAAATGTATAGAATGTACAGGCATTGTGCTGAGTGGTTAAAGACTTTATATGTGTGACCTCATTTAATCTTCCACTCACCCTAGAAGATGCAATGGTTATTCCATTTATAGATGGAGAATTTGGCACAGAGAGGTGATACAACTGCCTGAGCAACTTGTCACAGCAAGTAGGTGATGGGAGTAGGGTATGGTCCCTGGCAGCAGGAGTCCAGAGTTTACAGTTATTATTCCTGTTATGGTTGTTGCTGTGACTATTCTTGTCACCCACCAAGTACCCCCTTGTGTCAGTCTCTGGCTTACCCTAGAATAAATGCCTTGCCTCAGCCCCTACCCTGCCATTCTCCCATCTTTCTACCTCTCTGTTCCCCTCCTCTCCTTATTCTTTTAAAACATTTCTTATTGCTAGAAATTTCAAATACACACACACATACACATGCCATGTATATATGAAGAGTGGTAAAATGAACCCTATTACCAAGATCCAATGATTGCCATATTTGCCTTATTTACTTCTTTTTTTCTTTTTCTTTTTCTTTTTTTTTTTTTTGAGACAGAGTCTCATTCTCTTGCCTGAGCTAGAGGGCCATGGCATCAGCCTAGCTCACAGCAACCTCAAACTCCTGGGCTCAAGCGATCCTCCTGCTTCATCCTCCCAGGTAGCTGGGACTATAGACATGCACCACTGTGCCCGGCTA